GCACAGATTCTTATTAAGGTATATAAATTTTTAAAAAATGTATGTATATCTAGAGTAATTTCATCTGTTCTGAAGTCACTTCAGAAAAATCGAGTTTAGAGTCCACTGTAGACATGTATTATTCAAGTTCTCCTTACTGGAAATGGCATGTATTTTGAAAGTGAGCCTAGATTAAGAATATGAAAAACACTTGATATTCAAGAGCAGCAGTTTGCATGGTTAAGGGCAAAAGAGCAACTGTCTGGCCCTGCCTCACGCTGGGAGGCCCCACGCTTGGTCAGGCATGCGCCCACAGGGAGGGGAGAGGGTGACAGAGGCTCTGGGTTCGTTACCACAGAATTCAGAAAACTGACTCACTTCCCTTCCTGAGATGCTGGCCGTGGTCTGTGGTGGTGGCTCACCGCACTGGCCAGGCCCTCACCTTTCCTGTTCCATGTGATCTCGTCCCCAGGTGCCAACTCCTGGCTTTCCATCTTGGGGATGCATACATTTTTTTCAAGAGGGTGGAGGGAAAATCAACATGAAGATGAATGGCCTTCAATGCAGGGGAAGAATGAAAATACTGGAAACTCCTGCCCGTGATTCAACTTTCAGGGGCACAAGAGTGCACTGGAGACAAGGACAGAAGCAAGTCTAGTTTTGAGGCCAGAACCTTGGGTTGAAGAGATCATTTAGAGAACTCGTCTAATGCAACATGGCCATGAAAGTAGTTGTTGAAATCTGCCCACCTTCTCCCTCTCTCTTTCTCTCTCTATTTTTTTTATGGTGGTAGGGGCTTAGCTTTAAAATGAATTTTAAGTTTAAGAGAATTCATTTAAAAACAGGTTCTTCAGCCTGCACTTACAAAAGTAATTTCTCCCAACTGGAACACACACATACATGTTCCATTGCGGTCATTCCATTGTACAACATGCTCCTTCTGATTTCCACACAAAAGTAAATTACTAATCTGATTTTAAGTTGCATGCGAAGTTTCTAGTGAATAGCAAATTCAATAGTTCACACCAGAAAAACTTTTACAAAGGTTCAGGACGAATCTAATAACAGGTGTCAGGTTGTACATACACGGACTGGCATGCCCACACTTCACTGTATGTGTCGGTGAAAATCTAGCCTAGCTCCAGTCACAGTGTTTATTGTGATATGCTGAATTACTTGAATCTGTTATACTTTGATTTCTCTCTAAAAAACCCAAGTTGTTCATTGCCAGAGAGCTGCTCTCTCAACTGGATCTGTTCAGGGCTTTAGGGAAATGGGATGGCCAGTTAAGTTAATCACAGGTGTGAATTCCTTATGGGCCCCCGGAGGACACCCTGTAGAATGTATTTCCCAGCTGCAGGAGGTACCCTGAATTCTAATATGTAACGACTTCCTGAGGGGTGGGTACGATCCCCGGCTGCCAAACAGGGCCATTTTTGTAGAGGCTTGATTCGGTGAAACATGTTCAGGTGGAATAGGTACCATGACTGTGACCATGCCCTCAACCCCTGGGTTGGGGGAGGATGTGACAACTCACAGGGCTGGGCTGCAGAGGCAGCCCAGAGACCTGGGCAGGGACTGAGCATGCCCTTGGTCAGCTCCCACCGCTTGCCCTCCAGCTGGGGGAGCTTGGCCAAGGCCGCTCAGTTTGCAAGATGGCGCCAAATGGGCCCCCAGAGAAACATTATCAAAGGCTTTTTTGTCTCAGAATGCATCAGTGCCGAGGAAGGGAATGTTATGCGTGGCATGCATGGATGGGCTTTCAACCCACCCAAGTCCAAACCTCATTTTCTCTCTGGGAGAGAGGAAGGTGGCAGGAGAGGAAGCCAAAAGGCCAGGACGTTGCCAACATTCAAATGGGAAGGGCCTTCCTCTGGAATGAGCATGTTGGCAGAGGAATGAACTTCAGAAATGTTGTGACAAATGAGACACCGAGATTTATTTTAAAATGAAATGTTTATGAAAATGGCCTGGTACCAGCAGAAAAAGAGCCTTGAGAGTTGAAAGAGATGCTGGTTTGTGAGCGGGGATGATGTGGAACACGAGAGAGTGATGTGGCAGCAAGGGGAAGGCAAGAGGCCCAGGAGGACAGTCCCTGGGAGGAGGTTGGGAAGGGGACACAGTCTGCCAGTCTGGAGGGTGGCTTCTCATCCCCCTTCCACGTTAGTTCCTGGGACCTGGGGATTGCTTTCTTCATCTGTGCGGGGCAGGGAGTACTGAGACACTTTGTTGTAGGGTGTGGAAGTCCGCACTGCCTCCAAGAAGTGGGCCGGGAATCTATTGTAAGGGTAGGGAGTAGCCCCCAGAGCCCGAGGGAGGAGTGAGGATCAGGGCAGCGGCGAAACAGGGACCGATGGACAGGCTCTTAAGGCCTGATCCCAGCTTTAAGTAGCTCTGAAAGTTTTCTGTCCAGATGCCGTCCTGCCCCAGATCCACATTCCCAGAAGGGCCATTCTAGTTGGTCTGGTGTGGGTCACGTTCTCAGCCGTTGGCCAGAGGAGGGCACCCAAACCATGGGCAGTGGCACAGGGGTTCTCCAGGAGAAAACTGACATGCTGTTATCAGAGCAAGAGGGAACAGGAGCTGGGCAAGCGAGAACACAAGTGCCCACCCACTGCACAGGCTAGGGCAAATCCACCGCAAGGTGATGTCTCGGGTACCAGGGCATCGTGGAATGGAAGGGGTTAGTACGCGACTGATGTTGTTCCCTCATTTATTTCTCACAAGTACCCTGAGAGAGAGGAAACCAGGTGAGGACTCAGGAAGTGTCCTGGGACTCACAACACCCTGGGCTGGCATCCAGTCAGGGGTCCCACAGCAAGAGCGCTTTCTGGTTCTCTGTGGTGCCCACAGAGGGAGCTCCGGTGGGGAGGGGAGTGCAATGGTATTTTCCAGCCCGAAGCTGCCCAGAGTTCTGAATGCTCCATCTACACACAATAGAGTCTTTTCACCTGACCTTCTTAATATAAATTTGAAGTCTGAGTGCTTATCCCGTATCATAAATCTTTGCAGGAATGCTGGAAGAGAGGGAACTGCCACCCAGCAGGGTTTCTGGAGAGAATTACCTGGGGAAAGGAAGGTGAAATGTGCAAGGCTCAGGCCCCCCTTGGGCCATGGCAGAGCACCTTGTTTCTGCAGTGAGGTGCATGGTTCCAGCTGTTATGTTGCTGGGTTCCCACCGCCGGCCCGTCTGTGAGCCCCCGCGATGAAGAGATGCAAAGATTTAACGGTTTCAAGAGGGAGGCCACCTAATTTGACACACATTTGACACACACATTTGACCCATTCCACACATTCTGGCGCTTGAATAACACCAACACCACCTGTAAACTGGTGAGATGGTGTTTTCCATGGATGGTAACCCAGGAAGCTGCCCTTTTCACTCCATTGTGGGAAAGGAGGTCTCACACATTTTTTCCACAGAAATTTGATTTCATCTGGGAACAACTGCAGGAGCTACTGTTGGGAATGCAACCCTAGGTTTAGTGTGGAGGTCATTATTAGTATTAGATGTTCCAAGTCTGTGACAGAGTTAAGTTCTATAAGTTCTATTGAATTCATCCAGGAAACTCCCCGTCGTGAGTTCTGTGCCTCAGAACAGGCAGGGGGCCAGCATGTCACCATTGAGATGGAGGTTACCACCAGCCTGGGGGACGGGTGGTTTGAGTATTTTGAAAAGCCAAAACTTTGCCTAACAAAGCTTCCCTGGGCCCTGGGTTGGCACTACAATCTTTTTCACGCTGTGGGTTTTATTCTCCAGAGTTTTTACCTGTGGAGTCCTCCATTCGGTTTCAAGTTTCTGAGGGACCAAAGGTTAGCTTGGGGAATGAGGTCTAATCTCCCTCCCCCACAAGTCAACCTTAATAAACACACAATTTGAGTAGAAGCATAGCATACTTGGTATGCAAATACAGTTTCAGATTAAGTCTGCTAGCCCCATCGCTCAACCAGATGGCCACCCCTAAGACTTTGTAAAGAAATTTTGGAGACTCCATTAGTAGACTGAATCTAATAAGTAGTACACTTAGAAAAAGAAATCCTGGGTAAGGCGTTCTGTAAGGGGTACTGCTTTCTTTGCTCCCCAACTTTGACCGCAGCTCTCAGCTAATCCCAATATCTAGTTATAATAGCGATTGGTGAGATCCTTTAACTTGGATGTTAAAAACAAAAACCAAAAAGAACATACTAAGAAGGAACCCACAAGATGATTTGAACTACATATATTTTAACACATAATTAACATGGGTATTGTATATATAAAAATACTAACACAGTGTGTCCCTTTAAACATTTTTCAGGTCCTTCCCCCTAAATTCCTTATGCAGATGTGCCTAAGAGAACTGCCTTTGCTTTATCTTAATGTAATACCCAAGTTCACAGTGACCCCTGCTGGGAGGGTCTGTGTGGGATGTCACCACCTGTGATGGAGCCCTTATTTATGAACTGGAGAGCATTCTCTATCTTGGATTAGGGGCCAATTCAAAGTCCATTCCAAGTTCTGAGCCTTTAAAGAGGTTACTTTCCTCCAGCATTCTTTGCTAACTGCCTGCCTTGATTTACTTAATTCTCTGGGGAAGATTTATCTTTCTCTTGGCCATGGCCTTGTAGCTTTCTGTCTCTCTTTGAATGCTTTCTGCCTGCTGCCTCTGTGCATTGCATTATCTCCTTACTGAAGACTGGAGGAAATGTTTGATATTTTATTCCAACAAATACTGAATGTCTACTCTGTCAAGCATTGGGCTGGGTGCTGTGTGGAAGAGCAACTTGCAAATTTAGTCTGAGTTGAAAACAAATTCCACTCCACTGCAGAACATGCTCACCTTGCTCTTTACTGAGAAGCACTATCAACGCCCTCCCTGGTTACAACCGCTCAGACTCGCACACTTAACAATTTCATGCCCACAGTGGAGGCTACACAATCCATGACAGCAGAGCTTACACAAGAGGAGTTTTGGAGAAAAGTTATTGGTTATGGAGAGGCTAATTATTTCCTCCAATGATTATTTCCTTCTTTCCTCTAGGCCTTCTTACTAGAGAAGTTCTCTCTCCAAAAACAGTCCCAAAGGGAGTTCCTTAAGTGCTATGAGACCCTGTCCCTGTCTACAGCTGATTGCATTGGATGTGGATTCCTGACCCAAGATAAGCCAGCCACATTTAACCTAAAGACAGAGAGACTACATTAATTGTCCTGGGAAGTTGAACTGGAAAGGCAAGTAATTATGAATGCTGAGACCTACATTTTGCAGCCTCCATGATGGGTCAAATGCAGGCATTGACAAGGAAGCCATCAGCACAGGGAGACAAGGGAATTTGTCTGTCTTAACCAGAGATCTGAGTACAAAGAAGTGTGTCTAATTTGTGAATCAAGAATTCTGAACCAAGAACCTAATGCCTTACTTGGGTTTGAGGGTTGAATTTATGCTATCTATGTGGCCTGTGAATATCTGAGATGAGATAGTAACACCAAAATGTGATTCTAGACCATGATATTATACAATTGTGAACCAAACACAAAACTCTCCATTGAGTCATACCCTCAGTGGAGGCCACACAGGATTCCCATAAAGAAAGTGACCCGGAAGACAAGTTTGCCCTCCAAAATTATAAAACATATTAGGAAACAATACCCATGAAAGAGAATCAACAGGTAGAACATACTTCAGATCAGATTCCCAGTAACTTCAGATAGCAGATCTGTTGTATTGAGACTATAAGTGTGTTTAAAATGATTAGGACATTAAAATAAGGAGTTGAAAACATAATAAATATACAAGGTACAGTAACACATAAAAAGAAAATACAGATTTGAAAAAGAAACAGATATTTCAGAAAGAACAACTATAGTCATTAATTTTAATGGATTAGATATGGCTAAAGAGAAATTTAATATGCTGGAAGAGAGATCTGATTCCAATTCAGAGTACATCACAAAGATGTAAACATATTAAATAATAATTAAAGATATGGGTGATAGAATGAGAAATAATAAGAATTTCAAGGGAACAGAATAGAGAATGAGGAAAAGAAATATTCAAAGACAAAAAAGGCTGAGGATTTTCTATAATAGTTAAAAGATGAGGATCATAAGATTCAGAAAGCTACATCAAGCCATGAGATGAATAAATAAGAGTAAATCCAAACCGTAAGTCCACTATCATGAAAATGCAGAGCACCAAAGCCAAAAAGTTCTCAAAGCAACCACAGAGAAAACTCGGATTTCCTACAAAGGAAATATGATTACATAGGCAGCATACTTCTCAACCATAACAACAGAAACCAAAAGTCAATAAGATAATATACTCAAAATGCTAAGAGAAGATAACGGTCACTTCTTCATCCACTTAAATTATTATTCAACAACAATGATGGGTTTTTTTTTTTTACTTACCAGAGACTCTCACGAAGAAGCTTCTAAAGGATTTATTTCAAGTAGAAGAAAATTAAACCAAAAGAGAATGAATGAGATCAAAGAAGAGGTACTAAATTTAAACAAGCATCATCTATAGAAAATAACAATAATATTGACAAATTTTAAGAGTACCAAGTAATGTGTAACTGAAATATTGGACAATAATATGAAAGAAGGAGGGAGATGTTTGGATCTCTGAAGATTGGTAGGTAAGTAGAGATGCTGACTTATTTTATACTTTTTTTTTTTTTTGCGGTACGTGGGCCTCTCACTGTTGTGGCCTCTCCCGTTGCGGAGCACAGGCTCTGGACGCGCAGGCTCAGCAGCGATGGCTCACGGGCCTAGCTACTCTGTGGCATGTGGGATCTTCCCGGACCGGGGCACGAACCCGTATCCCCTGCATCAGCAGACGGACTCTCAACCACTGTGCCACCAGGGAAGCCCTATTTTATACTTTTTAAAGTCAAGTCTATGTGATAAAAATGTAAGGATCGTATCTAAAAGGGTTGTATGTATATACAAACATAAAAATGAGATGAATAAGTACTGAAGCAGTAGAATAGGCAAAGAAGGAACAAAGAAAATTGATCAATCCATTAAAAGGCAGGAAAAAAGAAAGCAAAGATCATATATAGCAAGGTAAATACAAAGCCCAAACTAAGATGGCAGAAATAAATCCTAAATAAATGTAAATGGACTAAATATGTCAGTTAAAACACAGAGATTGTTAACTTGGATGAAAAAAATCTATGTGGTTTATAAAAGACTCCTCTAAAATATAAGGGCAGAAGAAAAAACAAAGACAATGAATGGAAAAGGAACCATCAGGTGAAAAAAAAGGCATTAGAAGAATTACATGTATACCAGACTTTAGGGCAAAATTCATGATTAGGAATAAAGATTGTTATAAAAATAGAACAATTCTAATATATACCTAATGAATAAATATTGCTATAAAAATAGAACAACTCTAATATATACCTAATAGCCTCAAATAAAAGGCAAAGATTCAATTCCCAGTACTAGTTGTCAAACATACAGTCATAATAGGAGGAGATGTTTTAACACATCTCTTGAGATAGGTAAAACAAATTTTTTAAATTTTTAAGGAAGATTTGAATAAGTCATTTTTGGAATGACAGTGACAATTGACTAAATATTCCTTCTGATTCCAGCTCAAAAATGTTTGGGATCCATCTATCTGAAATTCATTTAGGCAGGCAAACTTTCCTCAGGACACTCTTTTATGGGAAGGAGGGAAGTGGATTTTCTGACCTTTACTCTAACCTGTGCAGGGCTCCCTGGTGTGGATGAGGCCCTTTCCAGCCTTGCCTCAGGGAGGGGTGATTTTGGCACATGAATACTGCTGACTTTTATGTAACTTGGCTATGATTTTTTTTCCTTCTGCTTTTTAAATTAGCGCAAGCTGGTATGGCCTCAAGATTCTTTGCACGCAGCTGAGGCAGCAGAAAGTCACATGCATTAGTTAAGGTGCAGGCTAAACTGCTGTCACAAAGACACTGAAAAATACAGTGGCTCAGATGAGATTGTTTATTTCTCTCTCGCGGAACAGTCAAGATGCAGGCGGGCAGCACTGGGCAGATAGATGGCACTGCCCTGTAACGTCGTCCGCCCAGGGGCAGGGCCAGCAGCTCCTTTTTAAAGATGTGCCCCCAGAATTTGCCCACATCACTTCCACTCCCCTTCCTCTCACTGGAGCCTGGTCACATTGACCACTCGGAGCTGCATGGGAGCTGGGCAACGTCGTCCCCAGCTGGGCAGCCATCTTCCTTGGTCCTCAGTAACTCTCTGTGTGGGGGGGGGAGGGGTGGCGGGAGTCATTCTATTGCTGGAAGGAAGGAGATTAGACGGGAGAGCAGAAAATAACGAGCAGTATCAGCCTCAGCGTCAGACTTTATTTCTAATCGTAGCCCTGCTCTTTACCTGTGAGGGATGTTGGAACCACGCAGAACCTCAGTTTTACCTTCTAGAAAACCGTATCTCACAGAGTTGTTCTTAATAGCAGTCAAGATGAAGAGAGTGAAAGTGAGGGCTCTCAGGGCTCTCTGTGGATCCCGGCTCTGTAATCCCTCCTCTGTCCAGAGCAGAGGCCCCGCAAGACCACGGGCGCTGTGTGGGGCGTGTGTCACAGGTGACCTGCTCCTGCCTCTGGCTGCTCTTCCTGGAGCCCCTCTTTCCTTTCCCTGGTCCCCTGTCTCCCTCCCCACCTCCCCAGTGAAGGATTCTGCAGATTGATGGACTGTCACCTGGAAGGCGGAGGCAGACCCCAGATCCCTGTGTTCTTGGAGGAAAGAAGGATTAATGAGCCCCTCAGAGTTGTCTTTGGGCTGGAGCTCATCTCAGTTCCTGCTCCACTGCTCCGGCTGGGACAGTCCACTGCAGAGAGAAAGGCAGGTGGCTACAAAGCTTTGGTCGTGCTGCCCCGTATGTGTGACCCGTCAGGTTTTGTTTGCGATCCTTTGTGCCCAGTGGTGCAGGTCACACGCTGAGCTCCTCCCAGGAATCTGATGGTTTGCAGTTGTAAAGCGCAGGGGCTTGGATCTGTCCGAACAGAGGGTTAAATCATAGAGTGTTTTACAAGGGCAGCTATAGGGAATGTCTTGTTTTCTCCTTATATGGCTATTTTTCTCAGTCCAGAATCCCAGGGTGTATTTTACGTGGCTGAAATACACAAATGGAGTCATAGTCTTAGCCAAACATGCTATATGGCTTTAAAATTAACAAGCCCCGCTGTGCTTCTGAACCCCAAACACACATCCACATGCGCGGTTTCCATTGGGACTGTGGAAAGATGCTCCTTCGTTTTTAGCCAAAAATATTTGATGGGGTGGATTTCTACAATTCCGTTACTTTATGCATGAGAAATATTTCTTTTGATCAGAGTAGTTTGCAAGCATATGGGTCAAATTTAAGCATCAGGTTTTTAATGAGTGGCTACTGTATGTGAAGTGCTACACGAGTTAGCTCTTGGGTAGACAGGCAGAACGGGGCACCAAACGTTAAAATGTGAAAGGGAAAGATGTTTAATGATAGCTCAGGATGACACTAGGAGAAGCATCAGAAGGCAGCACATAGCGAGTAAGAGGATGAGCTTGCCACAGGTGCTCAGGGGAAGAAGTCTGTTCAGGCTAACGTGGTGAGGGCAGGTTTCGTGGAGGAAGTCCAGGTTTGAACTAGATGGACTGGGTTAGGTCAAGGGGCATCAGGGAGATATTCTGGGTCGGGGGAGGCCTGAAGGAAAATGCAGAGGAAGGAAAATGAAGGAGCTTTTAAAAGAAGAGCAAATAATCCAGCAAATGGTTCATGTAGGAGAAAAGGAACTTCAGGTGGGAACAGCAGATTGACGCTGGAAGTGGATTGGGAAGTCAGGCTGAGGAGCTGGAATTTTTACTGCATGGTAAAGAGGCTGCATTGAAGGCTTTGGGATATTTATTTTGATCTGAACCAGTCTGGGCACCAGGATTCTCAACAATTTATACTTCTAAAACTTGTGTGTTTTTTTTTGGCTACCTCAGTGAAACAGACTTAATCTAGAGACTTAAGATTGGATTAATTAAATATGACTTGAGGGTATTAAAAATAAGACTCCTTATTGAAATTTCCTTATCAGTGATTTCGCAAATGAGAAATGCAGAGTTTATTACTGAGTAAAATTCTTGGCCACGCCTTCTGGAGCACAGACTATGAACTCAGGTTTGGCAGGGAAAAGTGGACTGACCAACTTTCATTCTTTGTGGGCAGAGGGGCAAATTTTGGCTGGAAAAAACTGGCAT